GAACATGTACATGGGCCAACTCTAATTTTTTACGTACATGTCTATGAATAACCTCAAAAGTGCCATGAGAATTTATTTTAGGGTTACAAATAAATTCCAGTGAGTAGGAGAATTCACAAAAAAATGGAATCCATGAAAAATGTGGATCAATTGTACCTGAAAGGAAAGTGGAACCTCACCCTGATTTTCCAATAAGTTCTTAAAACCAATACATAGTCAATACATTTTAAGAACAAAGCAAGAATACTTAGGGATGGTACATTAAGGGGACATGAAAAAATATATAATTTCTGAGAAAACTTAAACCTCATCCTCTGTTCTAATGGCCTAGTGCACAGAAACAATCATAAATATTTGTTGAATGAATGAACAGAGTTGAGAACACCGCTTCCTTTAGCAAAGCTAATTACAAGGCTGGTGGACTGGGAATGTTCAATAAAATTTCAGTATTTGGGTCTCCCCAGAATCTGCAATTCACATCATCAGGAAAAACCATATGAATAAATTTTACATTTAAACTTTCCATTAGAAAGGCATTTGCAAAACATCTTTGGTAATAAAGGGAAAATCTTGAAAAACTGTCTAGGAAATAGGAAGACAGCTTTGAAAAAATGTTTTAGATGTACCTCTTTATGTATTTAAAGCACTTATTCAATGGGGCCCATGGGTGGCTCAGTCAGTTAAGCGTCCCACTTTGGTTCAGGTCATGATCTCAAGGTTCATGAGTTTGAGCCCTGCGTTGGGCTCTGTGCTAGCAGCTCAGAGCCTGGAGCCTGCTTCAGTTTCTGTGTCTCCTTCTCTCTCCGCCCCACCCCTGCTCACACTCTGTCTCTGTCTCTCTCAAAAATAAATAAACATTAAAAAAATTAAAATACTCATTTAATTAATTCTGATTCAATTTCCAAAGGGACAGCTTTTTTTCAATCTTTGTTAATTCTGGCTTCTTTTTCTATGTGAACTCTAAAAAAATAAGATGTCATTTTAAAAACGGATGAAAACATTCTGCTAATTCAGATTCTTTCACTAACCACTGACTTAGAAAATGAAGCATTTCCTATATGATCTCCATACTCCAACATCCCACGATCCTGTGATTTGTCCACATTATTGAGGTCATTTTTACATTGACTGTATATATCTATAATAAGTTTCCATCCTCTGAACAGAGATTGCTTTCCCTTTGTCGCTAGCCCCTGTGTAGGTTTACATTTGAAGGCATTTTCTCCTCCTTCTCTCCTCCTTTTCCTCCTCCTGTTACTCTTCCTTCTTTCCAGGTTTGAGATTAGTTCTAAAAGTACATATCCATTTCCAAAATCTTAACTACATTTCTAGTTTAAATTCCTTTTTTTTTTTTAAGTAATGTTTATTTATTTTTGAGAGAGAGAGAGAGAGAATAGGGGAGGCGTAGACAGAGGGAGACAAAGAATCTGAAGCAGCCTCCAGGCTCTGAGCTGTCAGCACAGAGCCCAATGCAGAGCTTAAACTCACAAACCGTGAGATCATGACCTCAGCCAAAGTCAGACACTCTAGCGACTGAGCCACCCAGGCACCCCTACATTTCTAGTTTAAAAAGAAAAATCTACAAGTCACAACTATAGTATATGGGATTAACTCATATTAATAAAAACCACTTTCCTTTATTAGACACATATATTATATGCCATCACAATTCAGAAAGAAAGGCGGGTGATATTCATATCCCCACCCTATAGGAGACACAAGTGCAACTGGCCCAGAAAGACTAAGAAATTTGTTCTAGGTCTCGCAGCTAGGAAGGGGAAGAACACCCATAGGTTGTCAAAGCCACTAATTTAATCACTATGCTATTCTGCTTCTGGACAGACATAGGATATGGGTATTAAAGGGATGCTTGATCCCAGTGCTTCATTAATATTCCTCCTACTAAAGGGAACATCATGATTTTATCTCCTCTTAACGTATTACTTACAAGGTTGTTTAAGTCTTTTAAAATATTAAATATTTAATTAGTCCTATTACAGCATCTCCCTGAGGCAAATAGTTAGCCTGTATAATTGTTATGTTGGTTAAAAAGAAGGGCAAAAGGAAGCATGAGCATAAATTAACAATAATAAAACAGATCATTACATTTCATGCCTGGAGATTAACATGGATAGCTTGCATCAAGTAAAATTGTAAGGTGATTATTAAGGTTAGTCTTTACAGATGACCTTAGTCATTACACTTTAACTGGGTCTCCATGCAGCAAGAATGACCAGTCAGTCCATTAAATATAAGGTTACCATTCTCACCCATTATCTCTCAAAGCGTCCACCAAGGACTCCTGCTTTTGAATCCCCTGGGGATTTTGTTTAAAAATGGAGATTTTGGTCCTCAACTGAATTATTTTTCCACATTTTTAGCAAGCATTTTCAAATGATTCTATGGTAAAATATCAACCAGTTTCTTAGGGCTATGTCCTTATTCATAATATAAATTTATAAGATACTATTTCTAATTAAATAATAGTTAAGAGAGTTTTATTCCCTTACAAGTCTGCAAATACCTTGAGATTTGAGACCATGCTTTATTCAATAATTATTCCATGTTAACAAAGAAACTGAAATAAAATTGAACCTCAAACTGTTTAAAGGTGAATGGCCTTCAACATGGTTGACTGGATTTTTTATTTATAAAATCTTCTTTTAGGAAAAAACATATATATTTATATAAACCACATAGCCATAGTCTCTAATAATCATCCATAACAATTCTGGGAAAGATATTTAAAAGTTGCTTCTTTTGTTACAGGGTTTAAGAGTCACCTATAAGCTCTCAGAAAATGGTTTCTTCCATTATCTAATCAGAAGACATTTGCAACAATGAAAGTTTCCACTAAAAAGAGAAAAACGCTTTTCACAGTTGGGATGTCAACATTTCTGCCAACATGCCTGGTATTCTAAGCCTCCTTGAACCAACAGTAGAACATTTTATTACTTTACCCACGTCTGAAAATTCAAACTTACTAAGATCTCGTATGTGCCAAAAGCCCACTTCAAAAGCACCTAATGCAGGAGGGAGGCTCAGTCCAAGGGACATATTAAATTGCACACTTAAATAAGGCTCTCAAGCTCTTGCCACTATATTCAGCTGTTTGATCTTCAAGAAACAATATACTACCATCATATTATTTTCATTCTGTCCCAAAAATCGTTTTGCAAAATCTAAATTTCATGACCTTAGCGTTTTCTGAAGACTAATAAGAAAGGTATATTTTTAGAATGCGTTTCATTTTCTTTTGCAAAGTATGACATTATGTGTTACATTGCCTTAGGAAGTTTTATACAAAGAGATACCTAATATATTCCTCTTAGTATTCACTAGTAGGAAAATGTGTTTCTCTCCAGATGAACATGAATGATCCTATTTATTTTACATCGAGAACCCAACAGCCTCTTACACTTCCCTGTTTGACTTCACTGCCCAAAAGATGAGAATTAAATTCAATTTTCAACTACAGCAACTAATCATTTCTTACTCAAGGTATAGGAATGTTTCACCTTCTTAAACTTATTTCTATAATTTTCCCATTTTTCTATGTAAGATAAAACTTGCTTGTTTTAAGTGGGTTTTATCACTGCAAGTCACTTCTAATGGTTTGAAGAAGGAGACAAGGAAAAAGCCAACATTCTTTTAAAGAATTAAGCAAAGGTAAGTCTGGAGGGCAATGTGACGAGATTATCTTTGGGCTCTGTGCTGACAGCTCAGTGCCTGGAGCCTGCTTCAGATTCTGTGTCTCTCCTGCTCTCTCTGCCCCTCCCCTGCTCGTTCTCTCTCTCTCTCTCTCTCTCTCTCTCTCAATAATAAATAAACTTAAAAAAATCTTTAAAAAAAAAAAAGGTTAAAAGTTTCACACTCCCTGTACTGATTACTATATCACCAAAACCTGGGGTGCAATCCAAATTTTTATTTAATAACCAAGAATCTCTATGTAAGGTAAAATGACCATGACCTGCAGGGCAACTGAAAAAGAGGGGTTCCATATTTGAGAGAAAAGACAGGCCGCAAAAGCAAGAAATTAAACAGCATTCCCAAACCCAGGATTATTGTACACAATTCTTAAATCCAAGTTCTCACCTTTGCATTCTTAAACAAAGAATTTGTCAACTTAACAAAGGGGTTGTCAATTTAAATTCTTTGCAAAGCCAAACAAGACATAAATCATTAAATAAATGAATAGAATTTCTAAAATTGCACAGAACCATATTAATAACCCAGGTAGTCAGATTAAGAAATTTGTTAGTAATGACAAGAAAACTGTTACGAGAAAGTTAAAGCTTTCTCAGCACTCATGACCAATTTTTGCTGGCTTTTCAGTTGATTTTTGACATGGGGTTTGTATTCAGGGTCAGGAAAAACATTTTTTTCTGCTTTGAAAAATCAAATATTGGCCTGAAGTAGACAGAAACCTTGGAGAGTTTCATTCTAACAAGCAGAAATGGTGGTATTTTGCTACACCTAACCTACGATGAAATCTCTCAAACTGCATAGCCAGAAGCAAAAGCCTCATGAGACTAATAACACTTTAACATTTCCAGTTCATATGTGAATGTTAATTCCACTCTCTGAAGAGAACTACCAAAATGGCATTCATTAAGATTAAAGCCACGTTACTATAGAAAAGGGAAATTTATATGTATGCTTCCTATAAAATGCAAATATTGCCGAAGAATGGGTCTCCACTGAGTTCTCCTTACACCTATTCCTTTACAAAGTTAAATCACACCAGTGAAGCACTTATTAAAGGCAGTATGAGATTCTAAAGTAGCAAGTATTTCCTGCTCTGATGCTGAGGCAGCCCCACAGGCCGTTGACAACTGTGTGTACCCGATGAACGCCCGCGTACGGAACCAGTACAGGGCCCCAGTGATGGAGGTGGACAGCAGATGTTTCAGAATTTCAGATGCTGGAAAAGTGGAGGTGGCTCCTGCAAAGCACGACTTGTGATTGGGGTTGTCTTGCCCTGGAATCAAATGTCTTACCTGATTAAGTCCCTTGAAGAATGTGATTTGCAATGGCTTTTTCCCATGACTGCAAGAAACAAAAACAAAGCAAAACAAAAGGTTTCATAAAAAACAGAAAATGATAGAGCTCTATTTTTCGCTCTGTGTTTTCCTAAGGGAATATTTTTAACAGGTTACCAACAAACTACAATAGACAAATTAATGATTAATTACTGGGACTATTTGGTCTAAGGGAATAAAAAGGAGAGATGGGGAAAAAAATATAGGTTTGAAGAGGGGGTAAAGCATGAGAAAAAAATAAGGAATAACAGTAGGAGCTAAAAGTTAAATGGTGCTTTATATATACTAATTCAAATGATCCTCCTAAGAATTCCACAACCTGATAAAAGCTGCATCATCCTGATTTCACATACGAGGAAACCATGGCACAAGGTGGTCAAGGAACTTCCATGAAGTCTGAAATGCAACCTGATTCCAGACTGTCTGGCTGCTGAGACTCCACTCTTAAACACAACACTCTTCTGCTTCTATTCCCTGTAGTATTGCTGGGTGCCGGTCACATATCAGTGCTCAATAAATACTGTGAAATGAATGAGAGACTTTACAACCCTGGGGGCCATCATCTACTACACAGAATGTCCTTGAGAGGAAGGGCTGTCTTTACTCATCTTGTCCTAATTGCCAGCATCTAACTCAATGCCACGCACATGAAACAGTGCTCAAAGTTGTTTTATGAATGAATGCATACAGGTCCAAATAGCTAGAAATAATAAGAACCATGAACACACAGAATCACATGGTAAAATGCAGACAGGTGGGTGTGGTAGTTCATGTGGTAGTCTAGAATAATGAACACAGCGATCATTATTATCTAGTTTCTCCTATGTCAAACAGCTAGTGGATACGGAGTAGAAATTCTGAATTCCTCTTTGTACAAATCACTCCCATTTTTGTGATAGAATAACAGCAGATCCCTGAAGGAGCTCCTGTTTCAAAAACATGGTAAGGGGGGCCAGGGTGGCTCAGTCGGTTAAGCGTCCAACTTCAGCTCAGGGGATGATCTCATGGTTCGTGGGTTTGAACCCTGCATTGGGCTCTGTGCTGACAGCTCAGAGCCTAGAGCCTGCTTTAGATTCTGTGTCCCCGTCTCTCTCTCTGTCCCTCCCCCACTTGCACTCTCTCTGTCTCTCAAATATAAATAAACATTTAAAATTAAAAAATAAAAATAACTAAAAACATGACAATATGACCATTTCCACCTGAATGAAAACAACTAAGGTGATATCCATTTCAAACCAGAATAAAAAATTAGGTACCCACCAGTGCTTCTCAACTCTGTCCGGTAAAGTAACCTTGGTGGCACTTTACTTTCCTCTGGGCCCCAGCTAAAAGCAGCCTGCTTCAGTGCAAAATTTCAATAGGGTTCATATTTTATCTTAAGAATTCACCAATTTTTTTTTGTATTCTGCTTGTTTTCCTCTTACCACAAAAATAACATTTTGATTATTGACCATTATGTAAAATTCAAAGGCCACCATTTTTATCCTTTAGCATTCAGTACCCTGTGGAATATGTTAGCCCATTCTGGAAACCAGAGACCACAGCATCTGGTAAATATTCTCATTTAGAAGTCCAAACATTTAGAAGCAAATTATAAATACATTAAGTGAGATATAAAGACAGACCCAGGGGCGCCTGGGTAGCGCAGTCGGTTAAGCGTCCGACTTCAGCCAGGTCACGATCTCACGGTCCGTGAGTTCGAGCCCCGCGTTGGGCTCTGGGCTGATGGCTCAGAGCCTGGAGCCTGTTTCCGATTCTGTGTCTCCCTCTCTCTCTGCCCCTCCCCCGTTCATGCTCTGTCTCTCTCTGTCCCAAAAATAAATAAACGTTGAAGAAAAAAATTTTAATAAAGACAGACCCAAAAGGAGTATAATGAAATTAGGATATTTTGGTGTAAGATTATGGCATCTAAGCACTTAGCAACTACCTGCTTTTTGTTTTTTAATTTTTTTTTTAACATTTTTTCATTTTTGAGAGACAGAGAGAACAGAGCATGAGTAGGGCAGGGGCAGAGAGAGAGGGAGACAGAATCCAAAGCAGTCTCCAGGCTCTTAGCTGTCAGCACATAGCCAAATGTGGAGCCTGAACTCACTGACCACAAGATAATGACCTGAGCCAAAATCGGGACACTCAACTGACTGAGCCACCCAGGTGCCCCCCCACCCTGCCTTTTCTTAAATTTTTTAAATATTTATTCATTTTTGAGAGACAGACAGAGACAACAGAGCGTGAGCAGGGGAGGTGTAGCAACTACCTTCTTAAAAACTATTCTGGAGGCACCTGGGTGGCTCAGTCAGTTAAGCATCCGACTTTGGCCCAGGTCATGATCTCCCAGTTCTTGAGCTTGAGCCCCACATCGGACTCTGTGCTTACAGGTGAGAGCCTGGAGCGTGCTTCAGATTCTGTGTCTCCCTCTCTCTCTGTTCCGCCTTGCTCGCACTCTCTCTCTCTCTCAAAAATAAATAAACATCAAAAAAACATGAAAAAAAAACTATTCTGAATAACCACATACAAAAGTAAACAAATACTAAAGTTGGTTATAATAAATATTGCTCATGCTCAGGAATATTTCTGCTTCTCCTACACAACAGGAAAAGATTAAACCTCCCTTGGTCCCTAAATCTGGAATGACCATGTAATTTGCTGGGCCAATGACATGTTACTGGAATTCATCTATGTCAGTTACAGGTGAGAGCATGAAGGAGTTAACATGCAATTTCCCACGTTCTCTTTTCCTTGCCACACCAACTAACAAGGCCATATGATGCACCATGGCCATAGGATGTACTTGGAGCAGTGCAGCTCCAAGATGAGGGCACCTTCTTCAGCCTGGAAGGCAGAATTGTCATACGTAGACAATAGTCTGGGAGAGTCACTCAGATGCACAATGGACTCCAAAGAAGAAATAAACCTTTGTTGGGTTAAACCAAAGATGTTACTGTAGTACCACCTAGCCTGTACTGGTGGATCCTCTCCCACATGTTACCCTCAAATTCAAATAGACCAGACTCATGAACATTAAACGGCCCTACCTCCTTTCTGTTTTATTACTATAGAGCTACAAGGACAATCTACAACCAGTATGGTTGTATAGAACAATCTACAACCAGTATGGTTATTTGTATTCTTTGCCCAATAATTGTGGCTAAATTGACTCATGAACTGCTCTTGAAAAAAATTTCGGGGCACCTGGGTGGCTCAGTCGGTTAAGCATCTGACTTCGGCTCAGGTCATGATCTCACGGTCCGTGGGTTTGAGCCCCACGTCGGGCTCTCTGCTGACAGCTTGGAGCCTGGAACCTGTTTCAGATTCTGTGTCTCCCTCTCTCTCTGCCCCTCCCCTGCTCACACTCTGTCTCTCTCTGTCTCTCAAAAATAAATGTAAAAAAAAATTTTTTTAATTTCCATCAATTTGGGCATTTATAAGTGTGTGAACAAGCAGTCAATTGACACTGTTCTTTTAAAACCACTTCCATTGGTCAAAAAGGGAAAAATCTATAGCACAGTACAAAGTTCTCTACTGACACAGACCATATGGGTGAATATATGACATTAAATACTCATTTTTACTTTACTACCAGTAAGTCATGCCACAAAGCAAATACAAATTACCAAAAAACTTTTTTTAAGTCACAGTAAATTTTACTAATTTTCAAAATTTTGATGTCCCATTATTTAACAGCTCAATCGATTTTGTAAATTGCATGAACTTAACTATTTTTTACAAGGTTCCATCCATTTAAGCTAGGGTTCTTTAACTGTGGCACCATTAACATTTCAGGCTGGATGATTTCTGTTAAATAATCATGGCCTCTGTTAAATTTGGCCTCTGCAAACTAGATACCAGTAGCAACTTCCCAGTTTTGACAACCAAAAAATGTCTGAAAATATTTCCAAATGTTTCCTGGGGGACAAAATCACCCCCGATTGACAACTACTAATCTACTCCAGTGGTCCTTAAAAAAAAAAAATGTACTCCATTCTTCGGCCCCACTGTTGCCTCACTGAAGCGACTTAACAATAGTACATAAAGGTGATATGATAAGATTTTACTTCCTTTTCTTATTGCATAAGGAAAATACATATTAATTGTTAAACATTTTTAAATAAAAATTTGCAAAACTAACAAAATAATTATTTGTAATCCCATCTCGATTAGCATGTTTACAGACAGGTCTCTCTGGATGCATTCATTCAACAGTTAATAAATGACTGCTTTGTGGTGGGCACTGTACTAAATATCAGAGATAGAGCATTGAGTCAGACACATTCTTGCTCTCCTGGAGCTCACAGCTTTATGGGAAAAACAGATTACGCACCTTAAATATCAATGGCAAATGATGGTACAGATCATGAAGAAAAGTGCAGGCTCCTAAGATATCAGTATTGGTTTAAGGTGGCATCTCAGTGAGGCATCTTTGAGGAAATAATATTTTAGTTGAGAACAGAAGGATGTAAAATATCAATGGGTAGCATTTGAGTACTGCTTACTACCTGCCAGGTATTTTTCTAAGCTTCTATGTATAATAACTCCTTTAATCCTCTGAACAACCCTGTGAAGTACCTGTAATTATCATCCCTGTATTAAAGATAGAACATGGGTTTGGAGAGATTAAGTATCCTGCCCCAGATCACAAAGCTAATATGTGGAAGAAAGAGAATTGGAAGCTGGTCTTGACTAGGACAAGCACCCACACCCCCGAAGTGAGACAGGCAGAGCAGGAGGAAGAGGGCTCCTGATAGACACGGCTGTATTGCACCATTCTCCTAGGCAAGGAGGAGTGACCTTCCAGTCACCAAAGAGAGGATACTGAAATCCACCTCATTATATATTTATGGTAGTTTCCTAGTTAAATGCAGCCTCCTTAAATCCTTTCTTGGGAGGAGATGGGGCATAAATTATTTATAAATTAATTAATTATGATGGGAATTAAGCAACAGAACAGTCTCAAACTGAAAATTGAAAAGAGAGGTAGAAAGTTCCAAAAGGCTGAATTCATAACAGCAA